AATGCACATGGATAAAGGGAAGAGGATGAAAAATCCAATAAAGATGTGCTTGCTGACTGATGGGGGGAAAAAGTACAGTGCTTTACTAAACCCTAGCCATATCTTATTTAGTGACCAAATTTGGGTTTTGGAAAATATAGAAATCCATTCAGGAATGCAAGCTTATTCTATGTGATTTATACCGGCACTTTCTCATTACTTCTCAGTGGTGCTTTTAAATTTAAGGAAAAGGAATCATTTCTGATATTAAACTTCAGAAATGTTATTGAAGACTACTGCTAATTATTTCAGTTTTCTATGCAGTGAAGTATTGTGGAGAGTTTTAGAATTTACATGGATCTGGGTTAGAATGTCAGATACTTATAATGATGGCTGACTACCATCATCATTATTATTACTATTACTACTATTAGTAAACTTGGTGTATTAATAACACTAAGTGAAAATATGACATTAAAAATTAATGTTTGAGGGGAGGGTATAGCTCAGTGGTAAAACACATGCCTAGCATGCATGAGATCCTGGGTTCAATCTCTAGTACCACCATCAAATAAAGAAATAAATAAGTAAGTAAACCTAATTACCTCCCCCTGCAAAAAAAAACCCCATAAAATAAATTTTTTTAATTAAAAAAAGAATAAAACTTAAAAAAATATTTATAGCTAAGGCATGGATGTAATCTAAATGTCTTTCGACAGATAATTAGAAGTTGTGGTATGTATGTATACAATGGAATACTACTCAGCCATAGAAAAGAATAAAATTATGCCATTTGCAGCAACATGAATGGACGTAGAGATTATCATACTAAGCAAAGTGAGTCAAAGACAAATATGATATCACTTATATATGGAATCTGAGAAATGACACAAATGAACTTGTTTACAAAACAGAAACAGACTCACAGACATAGAAAAACTCATGGTTACCAAAGGGGAAAGGGGAGGGGGAGATAAATTAGGAGTTTGAAATTAGCAGACACAAACTATTTTATACGGGATAAATAAACAACAAGGTCCTACTGTATAGCACAGGAAACTATACTCACTAACACATAATAACCTATAATGAAAAAGAATATGCATATGTGTAACTGGATCACTGTCCTGAATACTGGAAATTAACACGACATTGTAAATCAGCTATACTTCAGTTTAAAAAAAGGAATGTGTACCAACTGGGCAATTGGATGAGGTCTCTCAAAGTCAATATTAAGAATTAACTTAATGGAAAAGACTCTGAAGAAAATATAGATGTATGTATATGTGTAACTGAATCACTTTGCTGTACATCTGAAACTAACACAACATTGTAAATCAACTATACTTCAACAACAACAAAAAAAGAACCCAAAAAAACCCACCCAAAACTATAAAACTTTCTGACAGAAGCCAAATCAGTCAGGTTAAATTATAGCATCTATGTTGTGCCAAACACTCACACACATCGATCCATTTAATCATCACAACAACCCAGTGAGATGATAATTACTTCACGTGTAAGAAGACACTGTGAAATCACTATAATTTCTCTGCGTGTTCACTCAAATGTCTTCATTCAGAGAGAAATAAGCACAGATACAAGGTGTGGGTGGTGTGATGCTGCATTCTAGAACTGTAAGATTTTCATTTCCAGGTAATGGAGTTTTGGGTGTATCAGAAGTTCTAAATTGCTAAGTGTAATGACGGGCAGCCTGCTGCTTCCCTTCAAGTTCCCAGCTGCCTGGGGAGCCTCTGTACCAGGAATCCCGGGGGAAGAGAGAAGGAGAAATCATGACTGTCTCAGCCTGGTCACCAGATACCCCATCTGGGCAGGCCTATCCACGGGGATTTTCCAACCTGTTTCCTTCCCTGCAAAACAGAGATTACAGGCTGGGCTCTCATTCCTTTGGGAATCCAGTTTATTTCCCAGGTCGACATATCAATTTAGGAGAAAGCAAAGTTAGAAACTTCCTGGGAGTTTTCCGGAAGACTCTGCAAACACACCAGACCTTTAGGATTCCATTCAGTCGGCACTCACAGGGCCCAGTATCGTGGGCATGAAACATAACGGTGGTTCCGTGTTGTATCCCTAGGCGGACTGGGCTTCTGCCCTACAGATGGCTGAAGTGCTTCAGAATGCTGCCCTGTACTAGTGACCTCCTATGACTTTTCAACTCAGTTGTTATCTTGATCAACAAAAGAAATCTTTATTTTTTAAAGGGACGCAGTTTATTTAAATGGAGGTACTGGGGATTGAACTGAGGACCTTATGCATACTAAGCATGTGCTTGCTTTACCGCTGAGCTATTTCCCTCCCCCCAAAAAGTGATCTTTTAAGGTAAATAACATTTTTCTTTCCTTACTTTCTAAATCTCTTAATCTCACTAAGCCTCAGTTTTTTGTCAGCAAAATGAACATGATATAAATACCTGCCCTCAGGTGGCCATTGTTCATTGTAACCAAGGTAACAGATTTTTCTCCTGAATTCTAGAGGCCATTTGGTATGAGTAGAGAGGGCAAGGTTTTGGAGTTGGCCAGGCTTCACGTTCACGTGCTCCCTCGGTTCACACATCTGTACGGTGGGGTTAAGCTTTCTGCCGCAAGTGTTCTTGAGGGTTACCTGAGGTCTCACCTTTGTTTAATAACCTGGGCCAGGACGCCGTTTCCTTAGATCAGTATTGCACCCTTCACCCTGAAAGCCTTGGGTGTTTACCAGTCCCCCAGTTCTTTCTTTTTCAATCCTGGCTCAGAGCCTCGGAAGACTTGGTGGTTAGGGGATGGTTCTCAGCAGAGGGGGACTTGGAATTTGACTATTTTAATTTTGTTTTTTTTTTTTAGGTAAAATTGTTCTTAAGGAAGTAAAGTCCTAAACTGAAAGAATTTTAACTTGTCATACACACCCTAGAAAAACTTGCATCACACCTGGAATTGATTTTGTAGTCAGGAGTTGAAAGTGGCCTCTTTTAACCTTGGGGGAACAAATGCCTTTCAAACCTCAATATTCTGCTTTCTTTCCTAGGACATTCTTTAAGCAGCTGTTTGAAAAGTTTTATTTTGTTACGCGTTAGAGGACTCTATGAAAAAGTTCGGGGAGAAGAGGGGTAATTAGTGGCTTCAGTGAGGGGATGAAGCATTGGCACATTTGTGCAAGGGATTTGGCGCAGAACTTGTACGTTGTGATGTCATGTCGTCCCTGTCTTCGCCTTTCCTTAGGTGTACTAGATGAAATAGGTCCCCCGCCCCCCCACTGTTGTTTCAGTGATGACACACGGGGAACAAGGATGCAGCTCTAAGCAGGCGAGTATCCTTTGTTGAATACTGTGGGTTGACCCTCCACTTTCCGTGTCTGCTGCTTGCTTCCTGTCCAGATCGTTGGTGAAGCACACACAGCTTGATCCGCATGTTTGTTTCAGGCCCCTAATACGTTCATTAAAGTAAATTCTGTTTCTCTTCCTTTCACTTCATATCAGTCTTTCTAGTCCACACTTCCCAGCTGAGCTACCCCTCTCCCTTCGTTCCCCTCCCTGCCCCAGGCTGTGCAGACCTGGCCCCAGGGGGTGGGGCAGCCAGGTCACTGACCCCTAGCATGGAGGAAAGGTGGGGCGGGAGGCCGCTTCCTCCAGGCCTTGGACTTCCTGTGCAGCCTGGAGGGAAACGGAGCTGGAGGGTGTGCGAACCCTCAGGTCATACAAGCCACACAGACATTCCTGCACAGCAAAGAAAATTTAAACCATTGCGCCCTCCCCCCCCAATTAATGGCAATTCAGTTTCCAGGGCAACTGGAATGTAGCTGTTATTTATAAATTGATCAACTGATAGGGTGATGTTAAAAAAGCTACTTTTCCTTTTGTCAGTCCTTAGCAATAGCAGGTTGTTTTGGTTTTTTTTTTTAAATAGCTGGAGCAGCTGTCTTTATTTTCCAGACTGCAGTGGCCTATTTTCACCTGGGAGATCTCTGGTTTGCTCTCTCTGGCAATTCCATACGTTGACCTTTGTACGTGCATTTGGCTGCCAGTGCCAGCTTTGGCACCTTGATGCCTCTGTTCTCAGTGTTGGAGTTGTTTATCTGGGGGTGGCCTGCCCTGTGAGGGCAGTCGGCACATCAAAGCATGTCCAGTTATTCTAGCAGCGTGCTAAACTGCTTGTGTTTACTTTTGTTTCCAAGGCTGTCATTTAATTTTATTTTTTTAATACATGAAAGTCTTTTTTCTCTCACTAGATTTTACTCCCCGCTTTGCCCCCTTCCCCATTAACAGTCACAGACTAGAGAAGTTTTTGAAAATCTTTGTCAAAGTTTCGTACAGAAAGAGAGGGTAAAAAAAAAAAAAGCCCCAAATCTCACCAATCAGGCATAAACTCTCTTAACATTTTGGAATCCCTCCTTCTAGTTTTCAGGCACATAGTTTGTTATACTGGATGTACAGTTTCCCCTCTAATTTTTTTTTCATTAAAAACTGTAGGTTTCATGTTAGTAGCTCCTCAGTGCACAGACCCGAGGCTACCCCAACCCCGCCTCACCACCAACTGCCCTCGTCCCAGTTTCTTCCCTCCTCCTTTCTTGGCTGACTTGGCCTTGAGTCAGACAGACCTGCTGTGAACCTCACTTAGCCCCTGTACTAGCTAACTTCATGTCCTCGGGCACCTGCATTCTTCCAAGCCTCCATTTTCCTATTTGCAGAACAGGGACCAGGGTGATCCCCAATTACAAGTTATTAGAATTCTGAGTCAGGCTGTGAAGGGTGCGGCGTGGGGTGTGGAGCAGGGGTGATGCGGCTGCCGCCGCCCTCCTGCCCACAGCCCCTTCCAGGATTTGGCTTGGCTGGTTCTGCTTGTCTGGTTTTGGAAGAAGAACCAGTAAGGAGAGGGAAGCAGAATGGGGGAGGTGTTCCAAGAAGCCTCCCTCCCCCTGCCCCCGGCTTTTAGGTGTAAAGTTCCAGCGTTTGCTTAGGACACTGCCTGAACCCTCCAGGGCCGGACGTCGGGCGGGATCAGCCTCAGCAGGTTCAGTGAGGTGGGAGAGGTGGGCCGGGGGCGCCAGGCCCTTGGGCGATCTTGCAGGGGGGTCTGCCTCCCTAGTCTCTCCTCTTCTGGTCTGCCTTTGGGTGGCCCCCACCCAACTCCCCCCAAGCCTCTGTCATTCTCCTGATGACCTGCGTGTTTCTCACCCCATCTGCGCCTAAGCAGGAGGGCAAGAAAGGATTTCTGTGGAAAGGAGTCTCTTTACACACTGCTGACATGAGGCTCTCCAAGGTACTAATCCACCTGATTTGTACATGAATTGCTCTGACTTAGCCTTTAATTATTCCAGGGGACTTTCACCTCCTTGGTAGGTAGGAGAAAGGCCATTCCTCAGATAAAACCAATGAAACTGGACTCGGTGGTGCTGAATATGGAAATGGTTCTTCTTTGCCCATTTTCTGCAAGATCACTGTCCTTCTGAGAGTGGAGGGCCGTGGAGGGGTGTCTTTCTTTTTCTTCATGTATTGCCCGTGAAGAGTGAGTCCCGTGCACTTGGTACTTCAGCTATGCCGTTTAAGGACTGTGAACAGACTTAGTCAAAAAAGCCACCTTGAGTGTGGTGGATGGCGGAGGAGAGGAGACTTCAGGAAGAGGCGGTGGGTTGAATTTTATGAGAGCAAGAGTGAGATGAAACAGCTTAACGCCTCATGGCCCCCTTCAGACTCCCAAGTGTGTCTGTTAAAAAAAAAAACCTTTCAAGGTCTGGTCTTGTGGCTTGGAAGGATTGCCGATTCTCTCCCTACTCCGGTGGTGCCATCTGTGCACCTCAGATGGTACGAGAGCCATGTCTGCAAATGTGTTTGAACCTGTGCATTAGTAAGCCTGCACTGAGCAAGAATCGAAGGTTTACAAAGCCAGGCCTTAAAAGAGCTGAATGTGACTGTCTCCCTGGACACTGTCAGCGTGAACACGTTGCTGTCATCTACATTTTAAAACTCTGTGTTGCCTGAAAACAGAGAACCTAAGCTGCTTTGAATTTTTTTACTCGGCAGTGGCAACTTACACTCCGTAGTACAGCTGGCAAGGAAGAAGACCCCAAGAACCTTTCAGATGACCTTGCTTCTGGTAGTTCTTCTTGGAGTGCTGGTCTACAGACATTTCTTTTTTTTTTCTTGAGACTCTGCGTCCTCTGTTCAAATGAGGTTTCAGCTCGCAAGGTGACAACATGTTTTGTTTGCAAGCCTGTGCCCTTCGTTTTCAGATTCCTGCTGTTGGTGGAGTGGGAGCCTGCTGAGTTTCCCAGATGGGAAAACTGCCTCCTGCCTCCTGCTTCCGGTCTGCTTCTCTCCAGACGAGCCTGCTTGTTTCCTTTCTCTGGAACCTCTCCTTGTGGCCAAAGGTTTCATCAGCGATGTGGTGGTCACCAGACCTGACCTCCACACTCTGAACTTTGTAAGCGCCTCTAGTCGCTAGGCTCACCTCAATTAGGGGGACTGTGGCTTCCAGAGCTGTGACTGTTAACTGCTGCCAAGGGGGGTGGACGGCTCCTGGGGGACCCAGAGCGCCTTGAGCAGTGACCTATTTTAATCTAGAATTTAGGGTGAGCATCAAGTCACTGCTCGCCATTGTCATGTCAGTCTCTCTTTGCTCCTGGCTTCTCAGCCATCTCTTATGCTTATTTTTCCAGTTAATTTTCCTACTGCCCAGTGGACTGACGTTGTAAATACCTGATTAGGGTGGTGTTGTAGATGGTACCGAATCTTAGAAAACTTACTGCCAGGAAAAGGACCGTAATCCAGTGGTCTCTTAGGAAACCAAGGAAACCAAGGAACTCAAGGAAACCAAGTCCTGGAGGCCACACCTTTCTTTGGAGACCTGAGAATCCACTGCCGCCTCCCTTCTGACCTCGGAGAGGTGGGTGGGGGAAGGAGTGCTGGCTCACCTGAGGACACATTCTTTTTCTAACTATCAAAGCTGATTAGCAGGATTTGGATGCGCTTGGCTCTGAGGCCTCTCATAATCTCTCCTTTCTTCCTTACCAGGCTCACCTAGAATTTAAAGAAGGTTAAGCCAGTTGTGAAATGTATCACCTTTCAGAAACGAATAGCATCTTAATCAACTCCCTTTGAAAACACGTCAGACTGGGATCTGTAAGCCTGGGTGTAATCTGGTATGCCCGGAGGTTGGGACCTCCAGCTGGGGCACGCTGGGGAGACTGGTCCAACTCCAAGTTTGTTTTCTGGCTCCAAACAAACGAGTGGCTGTTTGACGATTGGCACGAGACCCGGTTTTAAAAGCACAGCCATATAGGGTATGGCAGGCTGGTAACCAGGGGGTTTAACGAGTGAGGTCATGGAAGGCCCAGATGAAACGTTTAATGTGTATCACAAGTGCAATTAATCTTCTTAACGTGCTGGGCCCAGGCCTGCTCTCCCTGCCCCGGCGGTGTGGGGGTACTGGAGGGGCCCCTTTGAAGGACTCTGTTCTTTGATGCTACAGATGGGTAACAGAAGCGTATCACACTTGGTATCTGGTATCATAAAGGCCTTTTGTGTGCCCGTGCTGATGCATTCTGCTCTGAGAAGCAAACAGAAAAACCTGATGCAGATTGATAAGAGATACAAAAGAGGATGGATTGCAAATGCAGTTTGATAGCTGTGGACTCTAGGATCAGACTGAATCATGGCAAAGGAAGGGAGTCCCCTCGGTGCCCAGTGTGCTGCTCAGTCCAGCACAGTATTCCAGGAGTAAGATTTAGAAACACAGGAAACAAACACTGGAGAAGGTGCTGAGATGCTGAATCTGAACTGATAGGTTAGCATAGGGGTTCCAGGGAGAGAGAGGTGAGTGAGGGCTGCTGTGGTGAGGATGGCTTCCTGGGTGGGGTGGCCTTGAGTAGGAGGGTCACAAGGTGGGGGGGCAGGGTCGGGGAGCACAGGATGCTCCTGGGGGAGAGATCAGCGGGCCCAGTGTATGGTAGGGGAAAGGCTGGAAGAATTTAAAAGCAAGGGGTGGCACACTTTGCCTCTTTCACAGTGCGTGGAAGAGAAGGCCAGTGCAGGATCGCGTCCTTATAAGGCTGCTGCCCGGTTGTTTTTCAGCCCATTTTTTTAGCAGTCCTCTAAAATCCCAGCTAGACTCCCTCCTGCTGTTCTCTCTGTTGTGTAACAAGTAGCCTTGGGGACAAAGAGGTTTAAAATTGTGAGTTCAACAGATGTGGTTTGGGTGTGCTAGGATCCTCTAATGAATACAGAATCTACTCGCTAAGTGAATAATTGATAAGAGAAAAGAAATGTCTGTTCCTGTGTAATGTACCCATTTGCTTGTAATTAATGAAGGTCACACTTGAACCACTATTAAAATTCTGTTCTTTCCAAGTTTCCTTGCTGTGTGCTTATGCGGGTCTGTCACCTGCAGGACTTCTTAGAGCCTTTAATGTTTGAAAGTACATTGGGAATCTGTGAGGGTGGGTAGTGGAGGAGGAGGGGGACGACCCTTTCTGTCCACAGGGCACCTTGGAGGCTGAGCGGTCTGTGGGGTGCGTGCTGCTTGGCAGTGCTGTGTGCTCTGCCCGGGCCCTCTTACTGCCCTCTGTTTGTCCATTTACTTTTCCTGCCCATAAGATAACAGCATCTCTCAAACCAAGGAGGGTCAAGGGGCTTTACATCCCCCCTTCCTTTTTCCTTGCTCTGGGAAACAGGAACAGCAAATGTCTTTGATGGCTGTACAGAAAGGTTGCCTACAAGCTAAATTTGGGCAGGATGAGTCCCTGAGTCCTAATATAAATGGAAACGGAGCCCCAGTTCTATATCCTGCCGTTAAAAAAAAAAAATCTTCCCGTGTGGCAGGGGGAACAACCGGAGAGTGGCTGGGATGAATCAGCATGCCTTGGCCGGACACCAGGATAAGCGTGTGTCTCTAGACGTGGCACCCGGCCGACTGTCAACCCTGGTGCCACGAGAACACAGCAGCAAGCAGCACATTGTGCTTTTAAGGTCAAGAACAGCAGCGCCGAACATCCCAGAAACAGGAGTTCTGGTTCTTTCCTTCAGGAGTAAGGTCCTCCTTGCTCCAGAGCAGTTGTCGTTGTACTTTAGCATAGCATTCTGCTGTGCTTTCTGGCAGGTTTTCCTTCCTTTTTGTTCATTTTCACCTGCGCGCATTCCAGGCCAGTACCGCTCACTGTCCAGTGGAGTCCCACAAGCTGCGTGTGGCTATTTACATGATTTAAAAGGAAATAAAACTTAGAACTCTGTTCCTCATTTCAAATTCTCAGATGCCACGTGCGGCTGGTGGCTACTCTTTTTCGGACAGTACAGATACAGAATGTTTCCATCCTTGCAGATAATGCTGTTGGATAGTGCTGATGTGTATCAGCCATGCTGATCCTCATTTGGGAAAACTTTCTGGGTGCCCTCAGCGCCTCTACCTATTTTAACATCTTAGGGGTTGCAGCGCCAAAAGTGAGGAACGTCTGAGAGACATGGGCTGTAAATACGAAGCTGGCCCCGGTGGCCCTTCCTACACGCATTCATTGGGGCAGAGCAATACATGCTTTCAGCCTAAAAGGTCTTGGGGCTCTGTGGGTTTAGCAGCCTGTATTCATCACAAGGTTTTCACTTTGCGCACCTAAAAGGTATCTCAGGACAGTGTTTCCCTGCTCATCACACTTTAAAATCTAGTTCAGGAGCCTCTAACCCAACTTGTTGAAAATTTCTCTTGAGCCCTCCCAGTGGCTTGCTCGCTTGCTCCTGGAAATCACCGCTTCCTACTGTGCTTATGCGCAAGGCTGCTTTGATTTGCTGGTTGATCTCTCCCTGATTTTGTAGAAGGATCTCTCCCAGCAAGATTTTTCTCTTTTGTTCGGGTCTATGATACTTTATTTGATGTCTTTGCTGGAACAGAGGCTGGAAGGAAGACGTGTGAAGGAGTCATTATCTAGACTCCCTTCTGCTCGAGCTATCCCTGAATTCCACTTGCAAGGGAAGTGCGGTCTTAGGATGAAGGGGGCTTGGCGTTTCATTCCGCACACAGTATAAGGCTGGTGCTTGTTCTGTCTGTATTGCACTAGGTTCCCCAGTCTGTTTGGGACATCAGTAGGTGACTGCCTGTTTCTGCAACTGGAGAGGAGATGAAAAGTAGGAATCCCTGAGTTTGGAATTGAGCCTCACTTAGAGAAGGCACCTGTTGACTTGGCAAGTTTACCCTTCTCAACTGACACAGGCTGGACCTCAAACTGGCCAGGAGTCAGAGCAGCTGAGTGTCTCTCGTGCTCCTGTCATGGGCATGGTGCATATATTGTCCCTGACTTAATTGGGGTATCTATGCCATTTGCATTTTTAAAAAAGGGTCAATAGTTTTTTTCTTAAGAGATATGTGATGCAAACAAAACACCCCACACAGGCAAGGGGGTGGGGCTGGAAGTAAGACAAACTTGATTAGGCTATGAGCCAAGAAAGGGCAGAAAGGCAGGGACCACACGGTCTCTCCCAGCTTTAAGTGCTTGGTACAGAGCCAGGCCCCAATAGGCACTCAATAAATAGTTGTTGAGTAATAGGTTGTATTGTATTTTCAAACAGTTGTATAAAGTATATTGCTTGCACATTTTAAAGAGATGAAAGCTGACTCAGAGAGGTTAAGTAATTTGCCGGTCACACAGCTAGGACATGGCAGAGCTGTGATTCAGACCTAAGTATGCCTAAGCCATGGACTGTACGCCTTCACTAGGATCATATAGAGGGAGTGGTAGGGCCAGATTCATCGTGCCTCTCCCCCCTCTCTTTCTCTTCCCCCCTCCCCCCAGGTAGTTACTCTCAGATGTTTTATGTTTGTTTGCTTTTTTATTGTTATGTTTTTAACTTAAAAATATTTTATGCTGTGCACCTTAAACTTATATAGTGCTGTCTGTCAATTATATTAATAAAACTGGAAGAAAACTCTAATTTTGGTACAATTTCAGAGTTACAGGAGAAAGTTAGCAAGAAGGGCATAAACAGTGTTCAGACCCTTTGCCCAGGGGTGGGGGTGTGTGTGTGTGTGTTCTTAGACAGTCTTGCTTGTGAGCCCGGGGTGGGGCCACACTGCCTGGGATTCCTGTGTGTCTGGGAGGTAGGGCGTGTCCCTTATGAAAGTTCACCGGGTGTAAAAACAGCGATGTGACCCCACCCAGGAACTGGGGCAAACCCCAGCGCAGCCCTCCAGGGCTTGCTAGATGTAAACACGAGAGAAGTGTCTGGGGTTTATAATTCTGCAGGGGAGAACTCTCCCTCTGAGAAATTGGAGGGTTTGGGGACTATAAGAGAAAAGTGGCTTGTAAAAAAGATGGCTTGTAACTTCCCAAACAGACGCTCTCAGGCCTGATGGCATCATACCCTCCCCGGCTGCCAAGAACAATAACGCCTGCGTTCGCAGACGCCAGCACCCAGGCCGTTTCCTCTGCTCGCCACGCAATTAAACATGGATGTTTGTGCTTCGCTGTATCGGTTCCACGCCCACTGCACGGATTTTTTTTTTCTTTTTTAAACCCTCTCCTTCTTGTTTTCACCTTAGTGCTGTTTTGTCCCTACTCTGTCCCTCTGGGTCACATCCTGCTAGGACAGCCGTGTTCTCAGAGGCACTGTGTTTGGAGGCGGGAGGGGAATCTCTTCTAAAGGGGTAAACCCTCTGGAAGTTTTCCCAAATCAGGAGACTTTCTCCGGTTCTTGACACTGTCCTCCATTCCAGGGCCTGAGCTTTCCCTCACCTGCCAGCTCCTTCCCTCGGAGCAAGCGTGGTTGGTAATCATCTTGGAAGCCTCCTTTCTTTGACAGTCCTCACCCTCACTCGACCTGTGCTGGACAGAAAGTGCCGGGAGGGTGGAGGTGGCGGCTGACGTCCCCACTTGGGCAGGGCAGGGCCCACAGCTTCTGATCAGCAAATATTTGCTGAGTGAATAGGCCTCGGTGTACAGTTGCTACAATTACAGTTGACTTAAAAATAGGAGATCACAGAAAAGAGTGTAGATCTTAAAGGTTCTCATCACAAGGGAAAGAAAAGTTAACCATGTGTGGGGATGAATGTTAGCTAATCTTACTATGCTGAGTGTTTTTATACACATAAAATCATTATGTTGTACACTTGAAACAAATAAAATGTTCTATGTCAATTATCTCAATACATTGGTGGTCATTTTCTAATGTATGAAAATATTGAATCACTATACTGTACACCTGAAACTAATATAATATTGTTTTGATTATATTTCAGTTAAAAAAATACAGGATCACAGCCCTTTAGGTTTTAGCTGCTTCTCTGGGATTTGCTTTCCAGTTCATTTTGTATTAATGAGGTTTTTTAGCTTTGGAAGGGATCTTGGAGACCTCTGGGTCCAACTCTTTTCTGTTATTGCTTCCTACCGTTTCCTGGGTTTTTAATCTCTGAGAAGGCGGGAGAGCTGTTACACACGCACGTCCCAGTCATCCGTATGTGGACGACCCAGGGCGAGTCTCTCTTCCCTGACTGGCTTGCTCCTTTGACTTTCCTCAAGATCCTGGGAATGCTAACATGAGGGGGTCTCAGGGTGGGTGAGAAGTCCAGCAGCATCACCAAGACATGTGATTAAGGACTGACCAAAATGACTTGACCACGCTGCTCCTTGCTCAAAATCGCTCCCCTCACCCCTCCTCCTTCCCCCTTAGACTCCTCCCTTCTTCCTTAAGCGGTAACCCCTAGGGCTACAATATTTGCGCAGTTCGCTCTTTTGTATGTTTTTAATGGTGAGTCTTTGGTTTGCTCCATTGCTTGAATGGAACCACCTTGTCCCATTGGTCACACCAGTGGAAGCCAGCTCTGCAAACATACCCTATCAGGCCAGGGGAGATGTCTACTCCAATCCCTTTATTTGGTAGGAAGTGAGGGTTCAGACAGGCAGGTTCCTAGCCCAGTGCACGGGATTAGCTGGCCATAGACCCGGGCTGGACCAGGGCACTTTCCACAGCATCCTTGGCCCTGCCAGGATTGAAACGGAAAATCTCTTACTGTATACTTTTTAGGATATGCTTGGAAGAGTCCTCGGACAGTTCAAAGTGAAAAATGAATGTTGAAAAAAGACCGTCTGACTTTGTACCTCAGCTATGGCCTGTAGCGGCTGAGTGTGGACTCGAAGGAGCAGGGCAAGCAGAGAGATAGGAGACATGTTTTAAATTTCCTTGGAAATAGTCATCGAAGCTTCTACAAAAGCTTATTTTTATCTGCAGGTTTTTACCCCCTCCTAACCAGTGATACCAAAAATAAGAGTGCTTTCGGGTTTTACATGGGCAGATGGAAGGCTCCCAAGGGACTTGGAGGCCTGTTCCTGCAACTGGGCAGTGACCATGCTGTCCTGCGCTGCTGCTGTCCCAGTGCCACCCACCACTGACCCCTCAGCCCTCACGGGGACAGTGTTGGAATCCAGAAGTTACCGAGATGACTTGTAGTCAGCACACCCCTCTGGGAGTCTACAGTTAAGGAACTTGAGACGTGAGTGGATCTAGAGCCACTGTATACCTTTAAAGTGTTCCTGCAAGTCCTGCTGTGGCCGTTCTCTGTGCATCTCTAACCCCAGCTCACAGCGTAAGGTGGGGCAGATGCCTGCTTGGAGAACATCCAGCTGTGAGGATGGAGTGATGCGTCTGGCTGGAGAAGAGGTACCTTTTAAAGGTTGAGGAGTGAGTCATCCAATCTTGTTCTTCCTCTTTTTTTTTCGTTTTTTTGGTTTGTTTGTTTGTTTTAAAACAGTTGGTAGTTTCTTTTATTTAAAAAAAAACTTTTTAAAAATAGAAGTACTGGGGATTGAACCCAGGACCTTGTGCATGCTAAGCATGTGCTCTGTCTGAGCTATTACCCTCTCTTTTCCTCTCTGTCTTGAAGATTGTTAGGACCCTTCATCTTTTCTGAGTTGCTACTCAGGTTTGAATCTGATTATGCAGCCTTTCTTTAAGTTTTCAAACACCCGGGTGGGAATGGTGGGGACCTGTTTGATTTAGTGGAAACAACATAGGGGGCCTGGATGGAAATTGAGCTTCATCTCCTAACCAGTTGGGTGGTTTTTGGAAAAGGCACTTGACCTCAGTAAGTCTCAGTGTCCCTGTCTGTAACGTGGCGATGCTAAATGAGGACCCCTGTGGAAATACTTGGAAGTCTCAGAAAACCGTGGAGTATTTGGAGGTCTCATTTGGAGTCACTGAGGTTGGCGGGAGGGAGGCTTCGGGATCAAGGTTTCAGGTGAGTTCCAGCATGTCTACGGAGCAGTGAAGTTTCTACTGGCAGGTTAATTTCCTTCCTAGAACTTGATCTCATCTGGAGTAAAGATGCCTGCTTGGTTGGGTTGTTGGAAGAAGTACATGAAATACAACTCAGGTGCCTGGTATACCTGGCTTCATGGGGCCACAACACTGAGGAGTAGCCGTCTGTGGTCACATAATAGCCACCGCATGATGTCACACACTGGTTGAGCTCTTCAGACAAAACCAGTTAGTGAATTCTCCCCAGAGACGATAGGGTTCAACTAAAATCCTCCCCTCCAGAGTATGGGGAGGCGAGGATGGGCTGAGATTGGAGGGGTGGGGGTTGAGAGTGGCTGGATCCAGGAAGTCTGGCTACTTGTATCTTGACCTGAGTATTTGGAAAATTAAATTACCTTCTGGTAGTTGTGTAGAGTTTGACAGGTCAGTGATCAGTGCCAGTTGAACAGTTAATAACTACCATACTTTTTGCTGATAAAGATGGTAAAGCTATAAAGGCCATAACGTTCATAGGATTTGTTGAAGAGAAAAGACACGCTTTTGGTACGTGTCTTTTATTGTTTAAACTAGAAGCAGCGAATCTAGCGGGCATTCTTGGGGAATGATGTTTTTGCAGGAGTCAGTTTTTGCAAAATAATATTTAATGAAGTACTGCTTTTAGTCACTGACAAGTTAGTTTTCTTTGATACATCCCTCAGGAAGGCTGGTCTGAAGGAACAGGGACCATAATTGGTGGATGAGCCTGGAGAGTTGGACAGTAAGGGATGTGCGTGCATGTGTGTGTGTGTGTGTGTAGGTAAAGTGCTCCACAGTTCTTCCATGGAATGTAAAAAGAAAAATGTTAGTTTATCTATGTTTTTTTCTGTGATTGCTCATGTGTGGCATGTCTCATTTTTCTTTAGGATGTGGAGAAAGAGAAGGAAACCCACAATTACCTCAGCAAAGAGGAAATCAAAGAGAAAGTTCACAAGTACAATTTAGCAGTCACAGACAAGCTGAAGATGACCTTGGTGAGCACGCATCATAATAATAGTGTTCAGGTTGACACATGTTGAAAGATAGATGTGAGATGTTGGTACTACAGTCTGTGTGTCTTAAAATCTCCAGGTCACACCTGCAGGTGTTTAATGGTCAAGGTATGCAAGATCGGAACATGGGGTGTTTCTGCATCATTCAAATGAAAGCTGTGTTTTGAAGCAGCTTTATCTCAGAATCAGCCAACACTTATTAAAATTTTACTTTAAAAGATATTATGACACCCCCTCTCCCCACCAAAGGATTTTTAGCATTGAGTGTAATCCTTGCCTGGTTAACGTATGGGCGGTAACTCAGATTCTAATGAGGCCCTAGATAAGTTTTATCTTGTGTAAATAAATTTGGAAGTGTCAGGAAAAGGATTTTTGTGCCCATGGATTGAAACAGAATTGAGCTCAGATTTTTCTCAGCTGGTTGTGGGTGTGAGATGAAGTTTGTAATGTTCCGCTTCCGGCAGTGTTGGTTCAGCCTCCTGCAGCTTTGTGCTGATGCTGTTTGAAGCTCGGTGGGGAGTGAAGGTGTAGGAGGGAGCAGCTTAGGCTGGGTGACAAGGAAAGGGAAGCTGACAACAGAGCTAGATGCACGTTCCTCTAAACTGCTCTGGCCTTACCCGTCCACTTGGTGACTTTCCTGGAGGCACCTGCCTTCCCTTGGTGCCAGCGCCCAGGGCGCTTGGACCCCTGCCTTGCCGTCTGTTGACTGTGAACTGACAGGGTTGAGCAAAGGATGGGGTGACCCAGTTAGAAGAGGCCCTCCTGAGTTCTGTGACCCTTGGGGAGGAGCTTTTAAATATAAGCCCTTGTGATGAAGGATCCCCCCCTGGTGGGGCTCCCCCACGAAGGGGAGACGGTGGCTGATCTCAAGATCATTCCTCATTATTTTGGCAGTCATATTTCTCCTTTTTCAAACATAATTTTCATCAAAGTAGAACAATTCCACATCCCACCCACTCTTGGGAGATTAAAACAGATGCAAGCTTCCATGTTGTTTCAAAGATAAAAAATGTTAAGTGTTGTATAATTTCCATAAGAATGAATGAGTGAATTAGCATTATAAAGTGATCTTGTAGAAAGGAAGAAAAATAATGGATCATAAAGGAGGGCTTCATGTTCTCTGTTAACTGTGTTAACATTTATAGATGACACCTGATGATTCGTTTAAATAAAACACTACATTTTTTTCTAAACATGCTAAAACTAAAAAGTAAACAAGACCATTATGACAATCTTTAGCACTAAGAAATAATTCTACCACCAATTAAGACAAATGTTAAACTCATCAAACAGTGCATTATTAAATATGCAGGGTTTTTGTATAAAAGTTATACCTCAATAAAGCTATTAAAATACACGTATATATAGGAGACATCAGTACCACGTTACATCAAAAAAGACAAGTGCTTGTATTATAATGTCTTCAATTTACATGGTAGCTTGAATTTGTTTTAAAACTACGGCTGCTCGAGGTGCCTGAAAGGCCTCGTCCTGTAGCCCATGCTGTATGGGACGTGTGTGACAGGAGGAAGTTTAAGCAAAGTGGGTAATCTCTGGTGTGTCTCATCGTAGCCACTAGGGATGAAAATAGCTTGTTTTCTTCCCGTCTGCTCCTCGTTGCTTGAGTATTTCAGTCCTAATTGTGACTTTCCTTTTTGGTGTAATAGCCGGTCATCAGTTGGGGATGTTTCCTCTGAACAGTTAGCCCGAACACATCCCCAGGCTTTAATGAGCCTGGCGGTTTGGCTAGCATGTGGCCTGGTGGGTTGTAACCTTACCCTTGGGCCCTGACCTCTCACGTGTAGCTTCAGAGGCGTGAATCCTGGACTTCAGTCACCACATCTGCCCCGCAGACCCGGCCTCTGGAAGCACTTTCCTGGAGTGTGTTGACCTCCCCCGAGTCACTCCCTGGTGGGCAATCTTGAGTGACATTCTGCCCCCAAACTGGAAAAGAAGAGAACAAGAGAGTGTTTCCCCTTCCTTTTTCGGTTATTTTGTTTTGTTTTTGATATACCCCTTCCTTAAGATGCCCAGCTAAGTGTGTGTTTTTCTTCCTGCTTCAGAATTCAAATGGGATTTACACTGGCTTCATCAAAGTACAGATGGAACTCTGCAAACCATCACAGACTTCCCTGAACCCTGGAAAATTCGCTCCCACTAGCAATGGCTGTATGAACACGCTTCATATCAGCAGCACCAACACTGTCGGGGAGGTGATCGAGGCCCTGCTCAAGAAGTTCCTTGTGACCGAGAGCCCTTCCAAGTTTGCACTTTATAAGCGATGTCACAGGGAAGATCAAGGTACCTCGCCACGCTTGAAATGAAACTGGTCTCTGCTTTTATCTGGTGTCTTTTGGCCTCATGAGCAGGAGGGAGACTGATGGGTGTATCTCTGTCAGTTATGTCAGTGCCCAGTCACGGCAGGCGCTTAATGCTTCCTGGCTGTCCATGTTTTGGAGTTGGACAGTCATGGGTCTGAAGAGCTGAGACGTGTCCATATGTGATGGGTATCTGTTGAGGATTTTGTGATGTGCACAGGGGGATAGTTTTTTGTTTTGTTTTGGGATTGCTTTGATTTTTTTTTTAATTCTTTTTTTGTAGAGAAGGTACTGGGGATTGAACCCAGGACCTCATGCATGCTAAGCATGCGCTCCACCACTTGAGCTATCACCTCCCCCTGGATTGCTTTGATTTTAATGCTGTTTTGGACAGAAAAGAATGCCTCTGGGCTCAAAGCTTTCAGTGGCACATTCTACTTCGGATGTGCCTCTGAATGTGAAGTGGCTTGTTGGACTTGGATTCCCCGAGACCCAGGATGGGGAAGCACACGTGTGTTAGTGCGCATTTCACACTTACACATAAATGGCATGCCCGGACCCTGCCTCCCTAGGTGTTGCCCTGGGGCGTTTTGGCACCCTGCCCCCGCAGGGGCACATGCAGTAGGTGAATAACAATTTGATCTGAGGTCTGCCTGTCTGAACTTAATACCCACATTCAGTGGCTAGAAAGAGAATATTCAATTACTGCATGAAACTGAATAAGCTGGGTCAGGTACTCGCGGAGCAGAAGCTGATACCAGTGGTAGACAACAGTGATTCAGTGATTCACTCAGTGCTAATTCGAACGTGGCATGTATGTGTGAGCAGTCAGCTGCTTGAGCTTTCTCTAGTTTTTCTGGGTAGAGCCAACAGCAGCTGTAGCAGAAAATACACTCATCTTGACATGATGGGAGTGTCCTGGAGTCACCTGGGGCTGAAACCCAGCCAGTTACTAAGTATGCGCACGTTTCTTCAACACGTACTGTGGGCTGACATGTGGGCTGGCCCTGCCGAGTAAATACAGAGATGAATAGGCCAAAGTTCCTGTCCCCTAGAGGCCACAGGCTCAGCAGCATGGGGGAGGTTTACATCCACAAGGAAATTGGAACCTACAGTGCACTTGTATCTGGAAGTACCAAAATGATACAGACCAATTCAGGTGACTTTTTTGTCCTGCCAGCTTCTGTCCCTGCTCACCTGGACTTCAGCTACATAATCTGACAGCAGTAGCCTCCTACTGATATGTTACCCACAAGAACAAATCTCTTAACCCACAAGGCAGTGAATGCCAGAACCTGTGTGCCTGCGCGCACATACACACACACAGCATGAAACACCCACAGCTGGGCTTAAAGCCGCCAGAGCTTGTATTCAGACTGCATCATTCTGTGGCTGCTAATTTTAAATTAATCTGTAGGGAGATTTGCTTCTAGACCTCCGATTTCATGTTCTTGAGATGGTATATTTTTATTGTTTTTAAAGGAGTGGCAGATCCTTTTTAAAGTTCATCTTGCTTTCTAACAGGAGGAGCAGAATTAATTATAAGCCCATTTTGGGAGCAGTACTCATTTACTTTCATTCTTGAAAATTATTTCCTTTTTAATCAAGGCACAGTTTAGATTGTGCAGATAGAGTGGAAATAGTATAGCATTCTTTCCACTGTGGACTGTTCATTGGTAACAGTGAGGAGGACGGTGCAGTTGGGTAGCACGGACTGTTGCCTTGGTCTGAGGGAAGGGCGGTGAGGGTGCTGGTGGGGTGGGGGAAGGATGTAACGCTCTGTTTGTGACACGCCCTTGCTTCCTCACCCAGTCTACGCCTGCAAGCTCTCGGACCGGGAACATCCACTCTACCTGCGTCTGGTAGCAGGGCCCAGGACAGACACACTTAGTTTTGTTCTTCGTGAACATGAAATTGGAGAGGTAAGTGATTGTTCATTCTTGCTTTAAACTCTACAGACCAGCTGGCCCTGTTTTATTGCTCTGATCTGGTGACTTTACCACTGTGGAGGAGGAGGGGACAGAGTTGAGAGGGAACGTGTCTGTCTGTCTGCCTATCTGCCTGAGCTGCCTGCCATGGGATGAGAGATGGTCCTGTGGAGGGAGGGCAGCTTCCTGAACGTTTTTGAATTGCCAGAAATGAGCCCGAAGTTAGCCTACAATATAATTCTTTTATAACACTCATTATATTGGTCTGTAATTTTCAGAGGTGGGAGGAAATAAAATTTTTTTCACTTGATCCCCACCCAGAGAGTCATTTTCACTCCTGTCTCCAAATTACTCGAATCCAGCTGAGCTTTGAAAGTCGACACTCTCCATATGTTTGCTGCTAACCAAGGTCCCCAGGCTCCTTCGCTCTAAAGGGAAATCAGAGGAAATGCAATCTCTTCACCAGGAAAGACGTTTAACTTTCTACACTCTTTCCTCTTTGCCCCAGTGATTAAGAAATCATGTTTATACATGTCCATCGTTGGCCATTTTCTCTCCATGGAGGACTATATTTGGGTCAGCTCAGTTGAAGGAAAAAGCACTTTAGACTGTCCTTCTAGATCAAGTGTCACATGAGTAAATCTCTCAAGCTCTGGGTCTCAGCCTTTTGTCTGGAATAGGAAATGGGATGACTTGTCCACGTAGAACATTCTGTGAGGCAGTGAGAAGAGTGTTTCTAGGTTAAAAGTTAAGAAACCGAGACTGTGTTTCCGACTGCTCCTCTTGTTAGATCAGGAGCGTGACCTTGGGTAAATCTAACCTTTTCAGTCCTCAGTTTTAGAATCTGTAAAGTGGGAGGAAAGCCTTGAAAAGGTGGTTTTGTGTCGCATTTTGTGCCACATTAGAAATATATATAAACGTGCTTGGTAAAGAGTTATGCTTATATGTCGGTTTAAATTGGAACTTTCCTTAGGCAGTTTTGGGAAGACAATGATTTTGGACATCTTGAAGTTTCTCTGGATTCTCCGTGTTTTGAAATTTTTAAAATTCACTCTCATTTTGAGGAGAAGGCTGGGAGCAAAAGTCTAAAATCTGGCTTTTTAGTTTGGTGCGTGGTAGCCTTCCCTGGAAGCCTAACTAAGCCAGACTTGTCAGCGTGCTGTCTTTCTCGGTGCTGGTTTCTGAGTGTTGCACGTAGTTGAGGGCAGTTGGAGCTACGCTGTCAGGAGGGCATTAACGTTCGCTCAGTTTTGAAATTGACGTTGTGTTTTAACGTTCAGGACGGCTGTCCCGGGCCTCTGTGTGGTGCAGTTGTTTCAGATTTTTAAGGTTGACTGCCTTGAGGGAAGCAACTTTCCATAGCTGTCAGGGAGTGGAAGGGAGGTGATATTTAATAATGTCTTACTTTGGGAGAACGTATGTGAAAAGTAAAATGTTACTTTTTAAATTAACAGAATATTCTAATGTGGAAAGTTCTGCTTTCGTGCTTCATGGTTCTCATTTTCGTTAATAACTGGCTCAAAATCAGTCTCCGAGAGCTTTCTGTCATTGGCCCACTTGGTGGTTTTATTCTTGCTCCTCTCTATGCACTTGCTATATTAGGTTCTCTCGTCTTTTCTGTCCCGTACACCCCTGAGAATCCCCCATCAGAAACTGCTCCTGGCCGAGACTGTGATTCTCAGCCCAGGACCCAAGGACTCTTTTCTGGGAGGGGAAGACATAGTTTGGAAAAACGCCTCCCAGGTGATGTCAAATGCCCTCTTTGGTATTTACTGCTTTAATTTAAAAATAGATTTAAAAAACCCACAAACATACATTTGGTGCCTGCAAAGTACCAGATGCTGTGAGGGAAATAGAGCTCAGAGACTCAAGGGCCAGAGAAAAAAGCCCAAATAATTCACAGCAGCTGTAGTGAGGGTAGGATGTGGGCGAGAGAGATGCTCAGCTAAAAGCGAATAATTATAATAATTGACAAACCGTTTGTGGTCAGGGCTTCCAGTGCTGGTGAGAGCTTCTAATAGACTGAGTCCTGGCTGGGAAGGAAGGGAAGGAAATCATGGAAGGCTTCTTAGAGAAAGTGGCATTTGAGCTGGCACTGGAAGGTTGAGGAGGAGTTCGCCAGGGTAAGTGGAGGAAGGGGGAGCATGTGCAAAGCCATGTAGGGTAATGAATGAGGGGCACAGTGTGAGAGAGATGGGACTGGAGAGGTTAGCGTCATTGAGACTTAGCAGAAAACAACCAAGGGAAGCCGTTGACTGATTCCAAGCAGGGGCGGGTCATGCCTTGATTCACATTTTATTTCAGGCTGGCTGTTTGGGGGAACAGACTGGGGAGTGTTTGCACGGAGCTAGGAGGCTATCCCAGGGATGGAGGAGAAGATGGTGGTGGGTAGCACTAGGGAGAGCTGCTTAGGAGCTGGTAAGGTTGATCGTGGGAGGTGAGGAGGGGGGCAGTGATGACGCCACATGGAGGGAAGATGGAGTGAGCTGTTTCTCCTGCGTCTGGGGGTCCAGTCGGGATGAGAGTGTCTCATGGACTTAGGGGTACTGAGGTGAGAGCCCTTTTGGAAAGGGTGGGAGGAGGGGAGCGGAGAGGGTGGGAAGGCTGGTAGGGGGCTCGGCTTTGGTGAACCAGGACCTCCCTGACCACTGGGCAGCATACTGCGGGAGGGGAGGGCACCCACGCCTCCCTGTGCTTCGGGTCCGCATTCCTAAGTCTTCACACTGAATGAAGCACCTGGCATCTTTCAGTTTTGGGTATTCTCTCGCAGTGGGAAGCCTTCAGCCTGCCCGAGCTCCAAAACTTCTTGCGGATCTTGGACAAGGAAGAAGAGGAGCAGCTACAGACCCTGAAGGAGCGCTACGCGGTCTATAGACACAAGCTGGAGGGAGCCCTGAGCCAGCTGTGGAAACCCGGGTAACGCGCGGGCCCTGCCCCTCGGGGACGGGACGGCGTGGGACCTGCGTGCACACCGGCCGCCTGTGTCCCTCTTGTCGGAGGGCGGTTTCCTTGCCCCATGATGCCAGCGCCTCCCCCCTTGAAGAATCTCTAGGTCTAGTTCCCCAGAGTGCTCACGCGGCGTCCTCTGCAAGGGACTCTGCAAGCTTGTTCTGTTCGGCACTGCGGTGTTACCTCTTGGCAAGCTGTGAAACTAGTCTCATCTGGAGCCTTCGAGAGCGCTTTGAAGCATGGACTCTGGGTTGGTTCCCCCCACCCCCTTGTTTTCTTTTAGTTATTTTAAGTATGTGATGATGATGTTAATTAAGCTTAAGGTTGTGCAAATGATTTTTTAAAAGCTTAACCAGGAATCTGTCTGAATACTTGTCCTGTGTTGAAACTACCTGTCTTTTTTTTTTTTTCTTAAATGTCAGAGGAAGTGATCCGTGTGAATTGAAGGGCACGGGAAGCTAGGAAATCTGAGGAGTTGGTGAAGGAATTTGGAGGAGTCTGACAAAGAAAGGAAAGAGCAAGTTTGGAAGAAGGCAAGAGTAGGGGTGGCGAGCCCTGGGGGAAAGTGGTTTGGACGGTGAGTGGGTGGGTGGTAGAGGAGGAGAATTTGCTTGTGAACGAGTTAAAAGCTTTTTCAGTTTAGCGATGTTAAACCCATGGTCATATTGCTTGATTTCCTGGTGAGTAAGAGGTGGGAACAGAACCAAAGAAAGTAGGAGCTGGGCCAACAGGAGGGACTAAGTGCGGCTGACCCAGAGGACCCGGCGTGCAGATGGGTGCATGTTCCAAACGGGACAGAGCTGCCCCCTGGGCGGACCGGCCCCGGTCTGCCTTCTCTCCTACGAGCAGAAGGTCTGACTTGCGTGGCTTCTCTGGCCAGTGGGCAGCGAGCATGTGCTACAACTCCTGTGAAGTTACTGTTTTCCCCTGAGAATGCTTTCACAGTGGGAAAGGAGTTTGGGGAGGAGGCAACTATTTCCCCCTGATTGTTGGCCTGGGGATTTGTCAGGTGAGGGGCGCCCAGCACACTTTTGTGACAATCACGCCCTCCTTTCCCTGTTTTCTTTTCCTCCCCTCCCCTCCCCTCTCCCTCCTTCCCTCTCACCTCTTTCCCTTCTCACTTTGTCTTATACATTGAAGTCTGATCTTACATAATGTAGAACAGGGCTATGGATTAAAGACCCAGGACCTTCAGATCCTCAGTCCAAAGGGTGACCTGACTGTAAGGAGGACGGCGGCATCCCGGACCGCACAGGAGGGGTTCTCGATGGAAACTTTTTAACTAAAGAGCTTGTTCCTGCAAAACCAAAGAAATGAGAGTGCAATAGAAGCCCTCCTTAAAGCTGGTTAAATAACTGCCTTTTACGCAGCAGTTAATCTGAAAACAACAGGAAAGGTGTGCTGTGGTTCTCCAGGGGCCTTGCAGTCTACTTTCAGTCTCGGTATTGTTTGTTTATAAATTCCCAAGGAATTGTTAACACTTTGGTGACACCTAATGGATTCTTTATGAAATTCCAAGGTGCTTCAGTTCTTTGCTTCTTAACAAAACGGTGCCTTTTAAAAAAATTGCATTTCTCTTCCCCTCTTGGTGGCTCTTCTGACTTTTCAGAGAGCACCTGTCCTGTTGGAGGCAGATGGAAGTGTCGCTTATGCTGTGCCACACACGTTACTGAGACAATCGTATCTTCCTAAGCTTTTTAAGGAAAGTTGGAAAGAAAAAAAAAAAGTAGAACTAGCTATAAAATATGTAGGGCACATCTTGTTTAATTTTGCATGTGACTTCTTTTTAGTGCGTCAATGAGGTTTTAGTGACGTTGCCACCCAAAACTTTACCTTCATTGTTCAGGGAATGCCTTCATGGTTTTTATACTGGTTTTACTATTCAGACTATGGCTTGGGTGTGAGTATACTGTTATCCACCACCTGGTCTTTTAATTACCCATCCTAGTAAGCTCATATTTGGTGAAGCCTTTGTTTCTCAGATTAAGACACTGTTAGAACCTAAAGTAGTAGCTGATGGGTATCTGTGAATTTTTTTTTCTTTTTTTACTTGAAATAGATCGTCTGAATTAGGCATCCTCATCTGTATCATCCAGGACCTCGCTCATTGTCACGTGCACTGCATGTTGCGATTTGGAAAACTTACTGTGTTGAAATTCTGTCAGTTTGTGGTTCTTGAAGACTGACGGTCTCTCCCAAACACTGGTGACTGCAGCAGCATTTTTATTGTGTAAAAGGCCACTGAGGCCAAAGATTAAAAAAAAAATCATTGTACAAATTCTTATGTTAAAATTAAACTATTGAAGCTTTGCTGTAATACTGTTTTCTCTTCAGTATGTGATGGTACAGGAAAGAGTTAAGTTTAAATGAAGGGGTAGTATTGCAGGGGAGCATTTGAAATTGCAGAAGTAGAAAAAAAATTATAATATTTATAATTTTGATGAGTTTAAGTTTATTTTTATGGGAAGATATTTCTTCCCCTGAAATTGTTTCTGGAATGGCAAGTTGTTTCCATTATTAAAAGTTGAAGTTGTTAGTTGATGTTTGTGTGTTTTTATTTATGGTGATAATATGCTAGATAAAAGGTCACAGGAGTGGGAGAAGCTGCTTTTGTGGAGATACTGATGGGGAGAGGGGAGAATGTGACAGTTTTCACTAGGTTTGAATAGGGCACATTTGTTCTCCCAAATGTCATTTTTCCTTTGCCTTGTCCTCTGGGAAAAAGAGTATCCGTCTGTGTGACACATATCTAAAACAATTGTTTTGTAAAATATACATATATTTACAAGTGTGTAATGCGTGTGAACGGTTTAAGGAATTACTATAAAGTGGCTGCCATGTGACCACTACCAAAATAGAACATTGTCCCTTTCTTAGAAATCCTCTTCCTTCACCCCCCATTCCTGCCGAGGTCTCCCATCCCTAAAACAGACCGCTTGCAACATTGTAAAGTATCCGTGTGTTTTGGTCAGTGTGACTGTCTCACACCAGATGGGTGCACGTTTCTCCTCTTAGGCCCCCACGCCTGCTGCTGGCAAGTGTTTTTAGCACTGCGCTGCCCCCTAGAGGCGCGGGTGATACAGGAGCGAGGCTGACCGGCCCGTGAAGGAGAACACACTGCAAGTACTGTAGCTGCTTTATAGGTGAAAATAATGATGATGGAAATGACGGCTCTGTATAGATCTTTTTCGTCAAAATATCCAGAAGAATCCAGTTTGGACGTTCAGCCCAAGGTGCAGTGGGAATGTTTTGGAATTTTTATCCTTAAAGGAAGTTAGCTTCCTGTCCTAGGCTTCCTTTCAGAATCTGTCACCAGTTGATAATTGTTTAAGTGACTGTTGTTATGTTGCAAAATTATTTCTTAAGGATTGTACACTTTTGGGGCTCTGTAGGTAATTCTAATTAAAAGTGTTGTGTTTTTGAAAGAAGGGGGAAAGTCTCTATGTACATCTTCCTTGATTTATGGTGGGGTTATGTTCTGAAAAACTCATCGTAAATTGGAAATATCGTAAGTCAAAAATGCAATCAGTTCACCTGGCTACCGAACCTCATAGTTCAGACCAGCCCCCCATAAACGTACCCCGAGCACGTACATTAGCCTACAATTGGGCAGAATCATCTGACACAAAGCCTATTTTAGAATAAAGTGTTGAATACTCATGTAATTCGTGGAATACTGTACTGAAAGTGAAAAACAGAATGGTTGTCTAAGTACAGAGCAGTTACATTTGGTGTTTATCCTTGTGAACACAAAAAAATAACATTAGTCTGGGAAAAGATCACAATTTAAAATCCTACTAGTTTCTACAGTTTCTACTGAATGCGTGTCACTTTCACCCCATTCATTGTAAAGTTGAAAAATCATAAAATCAAACCAACCATCATAAGGCGAAGACCTTCTGTACTATACACGTATTAACCCATTTTCTCCCTCATGAGATAGGTATCGTCAGCATCCCCATTTTACAGATGAGGAAACAAATGCATCGAGGTCCAGCAACTCGCCCATGGCCCCTCTGGGAGTGAGTGGCAGAGCTGTCCTGCCAGTCTGCCGACTTTTCCTGTAAGTTCTACCCAGTTTTTCAGTAAAACTGCCTATTAAGTACCCATGAGGACGCCCTCTAACGGGCCGTTCATTTGAAAGCAATCCGGTGCAGTGGGATTTGTGGGAAAAGAAAGGACAGGCTTGATGTCAGGGTGCTCAGCCGCCTTTTTTTTGGCGGGGGGGAGGGGTGTTCATTTAGCATTCCATTTAAGTGATTATACTAAGTTACATAGAGGGAGATGCCTACCTGTTTTCATTTTCAGGTTCTGTTGTGTGGGAGAAACTGACAGGACAGATAACTGAACCCGGTGTTTTCACTGCAGTTAGTAAGATAATTGCCTGGGACTGCCAGAAGAATAGCTTCAGGGAGAAGTCAGAGCTAGCTCCCAGGAGCCACCAAATGCTTGCGAAGGCTGGAGTTTGTTGTTGTTTTTTTAATTATTAAAGTATAGTCGATTTACAATGTTGGGTTAATTTCTGGCATACAGCATAGTGATTCATTTATACACATACATACATTCTTTTTCATATTTTTTCATTATAAGCTATTGCAAGGTACTGAATATAGTTCTCTATGCTATACAATAGGACTGTGTTTATCTATTGTACATATAGTATTTAGCATCTGCAAATCCTGAACTCTCAATTTAACCTTCCTCCCTCTTCCCCTTTGGTAACCATGCTTGTTTTCTATGTCTGAATCTGTTTTGTAAGTAAGTTCATTTGTGGTTTTGTTTTTAATTCC